TAGTCAAACATCAGCTTTAGCTACATTCCTCTTTGAAATTTACAAATTTACCTTTTAAAATGATCAGAATTGGTTGCTTTCAACATAGCCTGAAAATGCAGGAAATGCTATTTCGAGGCTCTACACATTTTTCTGGGGGAGTACCCCCAGACCTCCCGCATCGGCTACATATTTCTGCAGTGGCACTTTTTGGGAGGCCACTACGGCCCTTGCCAGCAGGCAACCACCTGAATCTAGCCGATCACAATATATTTGATACAATCCACAACAGTTTTATTGTGCAGGTGAAATATATATACGTGTGCAGTGGAATAATGGTACACTGTAAATGTGTACAGCATGCTACACTGTGTAGGAATATTACAGCATATTGTACTGGTATTTTGCACAGATATATTGTAAATGTGTATTGCATAGATATACCGGTATATTGTACTGATATATTCAGGTATATTGAATATTTATACACGTATATTATATAGATATACTGTCGTATTGTACAGGTATGCTGCATAGGTATATAGAACAGGTGAGAATTATGTGTTTTGCATATATTGGTGTAATATAGAACAGGTGTGAGATTGATCTGTTTCGCGTATATTGGTGTAATAGTACAGGTTTGAGATTTATGTGTTTCGCATATATTGGTGTAATAGTACAGGTTTGAGATTTATGTGTTTCACCAATATATGCGAAACACATAAATCTCACACCTGTTCTATTACACCAATATATGCGGTAATATAGTACAGGCGTGAGATTTACGTGTTTTACATATATTGGTGTAATAGAACAGGTGTGAGATTAATATGTATATATAAGATTTAGTTGAGATGATATGTGTTTTGGATAGGTACGACACAGCGACTATAGGTCTATCTATCTCTCCATATCTATACCGTAATCAGCTTGATGTCACAGATGCTCATGTCTGTGCTAGCCGTAATTTCCACCGCCGCGTGCGTGCGGAAACCGCGTGGCAGCTTCACTCTGTAGAAGACCCTAACAAGAGGCGTGGTGAGCGGCGGGTCGACGGGACTGACGGAGTAGGTACTGCCATTAATTTCCCCCTGAAAGCGGAAACAACAAATACCATAAGAGCGTGTGTGTGTGGTGGGGGGGGGCGGTATGTGTGTGTGGGGGTGTGTGCGTGCGTGCGTGCGTCTGTGTGTGTAAGTGCATGCATTTGTGTATGTGGGTGTAGGGTGAGTGTGTGTGTGTGTGTGTGTGGGTCTGTGTGTGCGTGTGTGTGTGTGTGTATGTGTGAGAGCGCGTATGCGTGCGCGCACCTGCGTGTGAGCGTGCGTGCGTTTGTGTATACATGTGGGTGTATGGGGAGGGCGCGTGCGTGTGTGTGCGCGTGTACGTCCGTTTTTCTAGCAGGTACAAATACAAAAATTTGCTTCGAGCGCAATGGATAATTAAACAACATCTACTCTCTACGCAGAATGATGAAAAACTATGAAATGCAGTGGAAAATGTCTATAACGAGTAGGAAATCTTACTCACAGGCGTGTAAGTATCGACTGTGGTGAAAGGCATTAGGCCTACCCACGGATCCATCGCACTGTACTGCATTCCGGCAGACACCTTGCTGATTGTGTCAAGATCCGAATCTTTCGCGAGCTGGAATCAACGCAAGTCCGCTCGTTAAGCTAACAGGTATTTGGAATCTAACAGGTAATTAGAAACAACAGCAATATACCAGTATTACGATTACGTCTAAACAATTGTTATGCCATGTTACTAACCATTGCTAATCCTACTGCTGTGCATGGAACACCCCGATACCGTACACGTGGCTCCCTCATGGCATGCATGTGGTTACTGACAAGCAGGAGGGCGCCACCACGCTAAGGATAGTTCTAAAGGCTACGATTTCGCACCTTGAAGGCGAGCTTTATCTCTACGTTGTTTTCTCCATTAGTGTACGCGACGCTAGCATCACCGAAATTGGCACAGGTGCCAAGAGCGATCGTCGCCATGTCTATGATGCCACTAATCGTACTGCGATATAATGAAACACATACCATGATGACGCATTCATGATTTTATCGCCTAGAGAACGAGAGAAGAGACAGAAAAACAAAGATGGAGAGGGGAAGAAAGAAAGAAAGAAAGAAAGAAAGAGAGAACGAGAAAGGGGGTGATGGATGACAAAGAAAGAGAGAGAGAGAGAGGATCGAAAGAGATAACGTG